AAACACAGATGAATGAGAAACATTTTCCATTTCCCTTGCTAATGGCAACAAGACGGTACCATCACATTAGGCATACCACATCCACCATGACAAGAACAACACAGGCACAGTCTGAAACCCTACTGCTAGCACACACACACTTCCACCGACGAACTCAGGCTAACAGGGATCTAACAGACGACGCATGGATTGCAGACTGCAGCCTAGGCCCTCTCTCCACGGATGCGGCGGGCGAGCTGGATGTCCTTGGGCATGATGGTGACGCGCTTGGCGTGGATGGCGCAGAGGTTGGTGTCCTCGAAGAGGCCCACCAGGTAGGCCTCGGCGGCCTCCTGCAGGGCGGAGACGGCGGAGGACTGGAAGCGGAGGTCGGTCTTGAAGTCCTGGGCGATCTCACGGACGAGGCGCTGGAAGGGGAGCTTGCGGATGAGCAGCTCCGTGCTCTTCTGGTACTTGCGGATCTCGCGGAGCGCGACGGTGCCGGGGCGGAAGCGGTGGGGCTTCTTGACGCCGCCGGTGGCCGGGGCGGACTTGCGGGCGGCCTTGGTGGCCAGCTGCTTCCTCGGCGCCTTGCCGCCGGTGGACTTCCTCGCCGTCTGCTTGGTGCGGGCCATGGAGTCGGAGATGCGCCGGCAGGGAGGCTGAGGAGATTTGGGGGATTGGGAGGGTTGGGGGATTTGGAGTGAGGAGGAAGAAGGGGACGGGGCGGCGTTAAATAGGATGGGAGCACCGAGCGGGTGGGGAATTGGAGCGGGGAGCGCGCGTGGGTTTTGGTTTTTCGGGAGGGACGGTGGAGCGTGGAGCGTTGGATGTGGGGCGCCTGGACGGCTGGGATCTGGTGTCGAGGGGGTGATCCGTGGGAGGTGGTTTCGCGTGCTCTGATTGGTCGAAGAGGAGTCAGGCGGATCGTGGAGAAGCAGATGAAACGAAAATGGACTCCGACGAGGCGCGACCGTATTTTGCTCTTTGCCGCCAACGTCCCAGACGAAAACCTCAGCCCAAACGATAATTGACAAAAATACTGCTTCTTTTTTTAGAAGAGTTTCAGTGAGTGCTAGAACAATTTGTTTACTTACTAGTATAAGAATTATCTGTAATGCCCTGAAGCCCTGGTAAATTATTTATGTGCTATCTATAATGCCCTGAAGCCCTGGTAAATTATTTATGTGCTATCTGTAATGCCCTAAAGCCCTGGTAAATTATTATGTGCTAATTCATCATAAACACTGATCTGTAAACTGTTTTAGAAAAATGGCCATTTTAGAACAATAATTTCTTTTCAGTTTTGACTGCTGTAGCACACACGCCGAACTACTGATGTTTCTGTAAGTCCCTAGTTCAAGTTATTTTCAATGGATTCGTGACAAGCATATTTGGGAATCTCCTCATTTGGTTGGCTTTTCAGCAGTGGAAGCCATGAAAAAAATCCCAACCAAACAGGGCCATATTCTAAAATTCTGATGTTCAATTGTTTTCTTCCATTTCGAGAAGCATTCTTACAGATGAATTAACGAGTTGCTTGGCTCGTTAAGCTTGTGACCACTAAACTCGGTAAACTTAACGAGGCAAAAAAACTATGCTCGATTATGTTCATTTGAAGCTCGTAATCACTCATGAGCGCTCGCTAGATTTTTTATCCTGAAAGTTGAAACGAATGTAAAAGATTTGCCTCTTCAATTAAATAAGGGAGAGTAGAGTTTTACAACGCACTCACAAATCACGGCATGACAATTACTCGTACAATATGATGTTCCCTAGTTTCCTTGCGCCGACAGTAACCCAAAGTTTAGCGTCTTCTAAAATGTTGGTTAGGAGGACCGGCGGTGGCGCACTTTTCCGACGGAGTACTCGGACGTTTCTCTCATTCCAAATGGTCCAAGAAACGAACATGGTAAGGGAAGCCATTGCGTGGCGGTGAGACTTGCTGTCGTCGGTTCCTTTCTGCCACCACTCAATGACGGTTTCATCTAACTGCCATTCGGAGGTGTTCATGTGCGCGAGCCCAAGCTTCTCAATGATTGATCTCCAGAGTCTAAGCGTGCAGCGAGACTTGACGAAGAGGTGTATCCCTATGTTCTTGTTCCCTTTTGCAAAGCGGGCAAGGGCCACAGTTTGGCCAACCATGCTTCTCCAAGCGATCGGCGGTCCAAATCCTATCTTGTGGAGCCAACCAAGTAAAGAATTTGACCTTTGGAGGTGCCCAAGCCTTCCAGACCATGCGTCCATGCGCTTCAGGGGGACAAGGTCAGGCCGAGAAATTGAGCTTTGTAGGCAGTGCTCGCCGTGTATCCCCCATCGTTCGCATGCTTCCAAATGATATCGTCTTCGGTTTGCTCATCAAGGTGGAAGTCATGCACAAGCATCCAAAGGTTAAAGAACTCAGAAATGTGGTTGACGGAGATGGCGGTGTCATGCTTGATTTCGAGGATCCAATCGTTCCCATTCAAAGCCTCACGCGCCTTCCAATTCTTCCTCGCCAAGCCCTCATAGATTAGCGATGCAATGTCCTTGGGCTTGCGCCCCAGGAGCCAAAGGGAGTCCCAGAAAGGTGTTTGACGCCGTCACCGACAGTGATAGTCGTAGATGCATAGAAGAACTGGAGGTCCTCTTCAGTGCAGGGGTTGCCAGAGCCCACCCATAGTCTACGGGGCTCCCTCCATTCCTACCATAGCCAACGAAGCCGCAACGCCCGTGCAAACTTGTCGGTATTGAGCACCCCAAGACCACCGTAATCTTTTGGTCTGCACACCAAATTCCAATTGACCTTGCATTTGGCTCCCGTGGTCTTTTCCGCACCCGACCAAAAGAAGGCCCTCTCAATCTTATTAAGTGTATCTAGAATGCCCGGCGGCACTATGAGAGGCGTGATAGAGAAGACCGCTTGAGAGGAGATGACCGACTTGACGAGAGTTGTGCGTCCGATAGCAGTGATGTTTTGCCCATCCCAAGTGATTAATTATCCGGCCGCCTTGCCGACCAGATATTGGAAATCCACCGTCTTTAGCTGCCAAACCTAAAGAGGTAAGTCTAGGTATTTCACCAAGAAGGTAGCGCGGATCGTCGGCATATTCCGGAGGATGTGCTCGAGGTCAAGATGGTTGCAACGGATCGGCACGACCAAGCTTTTTTGGAAGTTGTTGCAGAGGCTCGTCACGTAACCAAAGCCTTGTAAGATAGCAGCTAGGTTGTCAATGTCTGTCTTGATGGGTGTTCATAAAATCAAATGATACGAGTCTGGAACCAGCTATATTGTGGCTTGTTTAAGACCTTCTTCCTCAATTCCATGAATCCAGGAGTTCTATCTGCTGTAAAAAAAAAAATCTGCTGTCCACCCTGTCTAAGTGTTATTACCCTCTTGAGGTTACGCCAAACTGAAAATACAATCCCGAATATGTAACGGGCGACATGGTACATTCCTGTGTAACTACAAAATGGATAATATGCTTAGCAGAAAGAAAGCTGACAGGATATTATTTATGTTGCCGGACAGCTAGAGCATAGTATCACTGGATATAGGTGAATAATTGCAGAAGAAGCATATAGCTCAATTCAGCTAGCGAGACATAACTATGCTCGCACGCAGCACCTATACAGGCACTGTCCATTGAGAATAAGTAGCAGAAATATTCAAGAACTGAGAGCTGCTGTCAGTCGCTTGAGTTCTTCCAACGCGATAATTTCAGACATGGTATTGAGTTGATCCATGGCCACATCATGTTCAGTTCTACAGCAGAATGCCCAAGCTCTAAGCAGACATACGAGCCACCAATTTAGTCCCTGTAAGTTCCAGGAAAGGAAGGGTAAGCAAGTAGTTGTTTCATGGCAGTATTGTACGAGACCTCATGAACAGAACAACAAAATACAATCCCTAGCACTATGTTTTTGATTCTTTCTATTGCAGTGAAGCACTGGGATAGAACATGAGAGACACTGGATGCCTAATAATTATCACTGCATTAAATAACAAAATTCAAGCACAAAGCGGTGTTCAAGCTAACACAGTACTACAATAAAGATCAAGCTAAGAGGAGAGTTACCAGAAACATAAAACAACAAGAATGCCATTTACAGAAGAGAGAAGTGCATATTTCAACCCCGAACTCTTGTCCTGGTCTAATTTACAACCCCGAACTCCAATACCGTCTAAATTACAACCCCTAACTCTCAAAACCGGCTAGGATTCAACCCTCCCCTCTTTGTTGACCGGTTTTGACCGGTCAACAGGTCCCGTCAGCATGGCACATCAGCATTATTTTTAAAAAGCTGTAAAATAAAAAAATCCAGGAAAAGAAATAAAAAAATCAAATTTCCGGGAAAAAATCAGGGAAAATAAATAAAATCGAATTTCTGAAAAACAAAAATATCGATATTTCCATGAAAAAACAAAAAATACTTAAAATAAAAAAATCCAAGGAAAAAAATTCAAATTCCCAAGAAAATTATATAAAAACTGTAAAATAGAAAAAAAATCTAGAAAAAGTAATTTCCAAAAAAGTTCAACTTTTTGATTTTTTTCCCCGAAAATCACGGAAAAAGTTTCCGAATTTTTTTCGCAAACTTTTTTTCGGAAATTTGGTTTTTTTCCTGATTTTTTCTCGATCTTACAGATTTTTATTTATATTTTTCTTGAAATTTTGAATTTTTTCCCGACGTGGCATGCTGATTGGACCTGTTGACTGGTCAAAACTGGTCACCCCTGGTCAAAACCGGTGAACAAGGAGGGGAGGGTTGAATTCTGACCGGTTTTGAGAGTTGAGGGTTGTAATTTAGATGGTATTGAAGTTCGGGGTTGTAAATTAGACTAGGGCAAGAGTTCGGGGTTGAAAAATGCACTTCTCTCTTTACAGAATGAGCGGTTCAGATGTAGACGAGAGCAACAAACTGTGTTCAGTTAACGGGCTAGTCAGAGATCTTAACTATATAGGGAACCAAAAGTAAAAAAAAAACTACAGGGAGCCAAAAAAAAGGTGAAAATGTTTCAGGAGTCTGATTTACCTTCTCTATGAACACCACTCTCTTGCATTCTGGAACATGCGCAACCAAGGACTGGGACCACCCTTCTCAACCTGCCACTCCTTGGGATACCATGGGTACTGCCACATCATAAAGGAACGCTCCGGGTGTGGCATCAGAGCAAGGTGTCTTCCATTAGGGGAGCAAAGGGCCGCAATACCAAGCGGAGAGCCATTAGGGTTGAAAGGATAAACCTCTGTGACATTATTAGCATCATCGCAGTACCTCAGAGGGGCCAGATTTGAATTGACAACATCAGACAAGACATTTTCATCTGGGAAGAAGGCTCTCCCTTCACCATGAGCACTCCAAATGCCCAAAGTAGAGCCTTCCATACCTTTGAACATTATAGAAGGAGAATCCCCTATGGCCACACTGATAAACCGACATTCAAAACGGCCAGATTCATTGTGAGTGAACCTTGGCTGGGACATGTCTCCACCTGCACCAAGCGAGCCTCCAATATCAGGTCCTGGTACCCAACCAAGAAGAGCCATGAGCTGACACCCATTGCACACCCCAAGGCTGAATGTGTCTGGCCTATTGTAGAACTCCTGGAACTGCTGTATGAGGGGCTGGTTGAACCTGATAGATGCAGCCCAACCTTTTGCTGAGTCAAGAACATCTGCATAGCTAAATCCACCAACAAATGCAATCCCACGGAATTCCGTTAGAGAAGCCTTTTGGTTCAAGAGATCCGACATTGTAATATCCCACGGTTCAAAACCAGCAGCATGGAATGCAGCAGACATTTCCCTATCACTGTTGCTCCCTTCTTCCCGAATGATGGCAACCTTCGGTTTCGAGGATGCAGACAGTAGTTTCTTTTCCGTGAATTTGGGCGTAAAAGACAAATGCCATGAGGGCGATGTTCGGCTTTTTAGGCCTTCTTTCTCAAGCTTGACACAAGATTTCAGCCGCTGTAGCTCCTCAAGCTGAAAGCTTGTTTCCTCCCACAAATCTCTGAGATCTGAAGTTCTTTCTTTCAAACGCACCTCACCATCAACACACAGCTCTATTTCTGGTGCTGCAGTTACTTTTCCTATCACATTAGCAGAAACCCCTGCCGCATGAAGTTTTTGCTTCACTACATCAAGGTCATCCAAATGCACTTCAACTACAAGACCAAGCTCCTCCGCAAAAAGTGTTTGAAGAAGGTCATTATCTTTTAATTCTATGTTGAGGTTAACACCACAGTTGCCAGCAAATGCCATCTCAAGAATGGTGACAATAAGCCCACCATCACTAATGTCATGACCAGCAGAAATCAGGCGTTCGCTGAGCAATTCTTGAACAACCTCAAAGACCTTTTTCAAGTAAGGGACATCTTCTATGTCTGGGCAGTCATTTCCAATTTGATCAAACGCTTGTGCGAGAGCAGAACAACCAAGTCGTCGCTTTCCTTTAGCCAGGTCAACATGCAACAGAACCCCGTCCTTCACAAGCTTTAGATCTGGAGTAACCGTTAAGGTTATATCAGGACATGTCACATAAGCACTGATAACAAGATTTCCTGGAGCTTTGACTAGCTCGCCATCACATTGAGCTGCCATAGAAAGACTATCCTTTCCTCCATCAATTGCAATACCAAGTTGAATCATGCAGTCAGCCATTGCGACAGCAGCATCATACATATCTGCTCCCTCTCCATCAATCTTTGCAGCGTACATCCAATTGCCACTTGCTTTGACGTCAGCAAGAGATGTAACTTTAGCCCAAACCAGATTGGTCAATGCCTCCCCAACAGCAAGCCTTGCCATAGCCTCAGGATTAAGTAAACCCTTTATTGGTTGTTCTCCAATGGCACAAGCACCGCCAGTAAGATCTGTGTATGTCTGTGCGACTACAGCAACATCAGCAAGTGGTAGTTGCAGTGGGCCAACCGTCTGCTGTTGTGCCACAAGACCTGTCACACATCTGTCAACCTTAGTGGTCAAGAAACGCTTTGAACATACTGAGGGAAGCTTCAATACTCGCTTAAGAACATCCATCAGTGTAATCTCGGGTGCTATGTCTAAGGGTTCACTCGATCGAGGAACTCGCTTGAAATCAAAGGTCTTCTGAGGCATATCTCCTAAAACCTTTTCAAGCTCAAGATCAACAGCAGGTGGTGGAGGAGGAAGGCCACTCAACATTGCATGCTCCACAGCAGCACTGTCAATTAAAACAATCTTTCCACTACCATCAATTTCACCAAGGACAGCCATTGAAACTCTCTCTCTATCACAAAGTGATTGCAACAGGTTTCTGCTCTCAGGCTTCACCAATAATGCATCTTGTTCCTGGTATTCAGCACCCCAGATCTCCAACACAGACAATGTGTGATCACCAACAACAATTGAGCGGATATCAATTTCAGCACCCTTAGGATAGATTATTTCTTTCACGACATTGCAGTTTCCTCCAGCTCCCTGATCATGAATGCTGATGATTGGATTCTTCTCTCCCATTTCCACACATGCCCTGATCACGCGATATAACTTTTGTGCCATCTCAGCATCTCCCCGCTGCACTGCGTTAAAATCGAGCTCTGCATCATTCTGTCCACTAACCATACTTGAGGCAGCACCACCACCCATACCAATTCTGTATGCTGGACCACCAATCTTCACAACTAGCATGCCGATTTCTGGATCCCCTTTCGATATGTGTGCATGGTCAATCTGCCCAATTGCCCCACTGAACATTATAGGCTTCAGCCATTCACGACGCTCCCCGTTTGGCAACCTAGAACCAAAATTTCTTGTAAATCCCTGAATTAAAGGCTCGCCAAACTTGTTCCCATAGTCAGAAGCACCGTCGCTAGCATCAATAAGAATCTGCAACGGAGGAGCTAAGTTTGATGGGTATGCAAAAGATGAATCCTCCCAAGGTGCATATGATTCTTCAATTTGAAGGTTTCCAACACAATAACCAGCAGTTGAAGCAACAACAAATGAGCCCTTTCCAGTGGCATGTGTGTCCCTTATGCGGCCACCTGCACCTGTTTCAGCTCCTGGGTAGGGTGCCACGGCACATGGAAAATTATGGGTTTCTGCTGTGAACAGAATGCCTAGTTCACACATCATCAGGGTTAGCGGTGAAGTGGAACCTGGTAGTGCTGGGCGTAGGTGATTTACAAGAGTCCCTTTTATTGCACTCGAGTTATCCTTGAACCCAATAATAGAGTTATTAGGGTTAGCCTTCAAGGGGCTCTTTACTAACTGAAACAGAGTACTTGGCATGGTCTCTCCATCTATCTCAAGCTTTCCATTAAAAAACCAATGTCTGCTGTGCTCACTGTTTGATTGCGCTATGTCAAAAAGTTCCACGGTAGTTGGATTGCGTTTGATGTCATCTCTGAATAGGTGAGTGTAGTACTTGATATCTTGTTCATCAAAAGCCAGACCCATTTTAAGATTTATTTCCTCCAGTGCTTCCCTTCCCCTTTCCATGACTGGTATAACACTGACAGGTTCTGGAACTACATCCGACCGAAATGATGTGAGCTTGCTAGGATAAACACATTCTGTCATCCTGTCATGAATCAAAGCAGCAAAGCTGTTGAGTTGGCTTTCATCAAGTGGGTCACTACCAGGCTGAAGGCACAAAAGATATCTTCTAGACCTCTCCAGGCGAGTTACTTCCATTAATGATAGAGCTTTACAAATCGAGACAGCATTGGTTGAGAAAGCTGTCGAAAATGTCATCCGGGGACCAACCTCAACAAGGAAGCAATAAGAGCTCCTAGAAACTTCCTCCTCCAGAAAGCTCCCTGTTTGTAGGTTGTCAGGTTCATAAGTTTCTGCTAGGAGCCACTGAAGTGTTGCGAGCTTTGTAGAACCTAGTGCATCCTCCAACTCAACATTGAAGCATTGCTCAGTCTTTATATCAATAATATTAGAAGAAACCTTTGCCTGCACTTTCCTGAGTAACTCCTTGGCCTCACTCTCTTGAAGAAATGGTTTGCGATAAAAGTGAATAATCCTTGAAACTAATCCCATGTCATCACCAGATGCCTCTATCAATGGACTATTAACTCCGCTGGATACTGCAGCAGTGAGAGCAGGCATTGGTCGGATATTTGGAACAATAGCCCTTTGATTAGGTAAACGGCAAAGATGACGTAGGTTCAGGCAATGTCGAACCACTCGTGACCTTCTCGAAGGTGGGTGTCTTGTGGATATAAAACTACTCCTTTGTTTTCCCTGGTACAAAAAGAGAAGCGCATGATAATGGTTACATGCCGAAAAGAGAAGCATATTTAGTTGATAGTTCAACTAGAACTAGGTGCATACCATATTACTAGGAAAGCCTTGAAGACGTAGCATATTGCTTGCTGTCATTTCAGCATGAGATGCCATATTGACGACACCTAAGATACTCCAAGAACCTGTGAACCACAGAATAGGAAATCAGGCACTGAACGACTGAGCATAACTAAAGTTTAATCTACAATATTAAAAACTACAAAATCGGTTCTTGTCATTAGCAAATGTTGAATTCAGAGTTTATTTCATTATATTTTTACGATGTAAGCAAAAAGATAAATGCGCACACAGACACACTTCAAGACAAAGGTCAATGTGTTTGTTCATTGTTCCGGATTGCAGATTACGTTGAATGAAAATACAGAGTGGACATTAAACCCCTTAGATTGTGCACCCACAGACAAAAAACTAGCTTATTTCATCCAAATTTTCATGAATTTTTGGTAGTTCCAGCATTCACATACTCACATACACACGGTTCGTTCACTGAATCAGAGAGCTCTCTTGTATGAAATGAACAAACTGGGATAAAACCATAAGATGGTCTATCAAATGCAAGATACTTCAACTGTTTTTTGCTACGAAACACCGATGCGGATATGGGGACATGGGATACGGTGATTTCTAAAAACTACAATTCGGCGAGTATATATAAATAATTAATAAAATGCCATGTTATGAAGACAATGAATTGTATGTGTGAGACTATATCAAAATACTACCCTATTTGTTGCATCCATGCCTCTTTTCATCAAGTCCCCATCTCCTCGGTGACTGGATGATCGTCAATTTACTCAATCCTCGATGACTGAATGGTCATCAATCTACTCAATCCTCGTGGTACTTGCACAAGGCACTGGCCAACGCCCAGCAGCAGCCAACAAGCACGCACACAAGTACACAAGGAGCACGCACACAGACACAGCAAGCACGCACGCAAGCGGCGACAAGCACACGACCAGCACGCACGCATTACGGCACCAGAAGCAAGCAAGCAAGTGCGGGAGGACCACCGGAGAAGAGCAGGGATTAGGAAGGGAAGGATTTACCTCGCTGGCGACGGCTGACGGGCGGCGGCGGCAGAGAAGACTCGCGGCGGCGGCGGCGGCGCGCTCGTGCGGTCGCCCGCGAATACTCTGTCCAGTTTGCTGCCCGAACGTTTTTTCTTTTCTTTTTAGGGCTTGCCCGAACGAATTGAGTGCGTTGGCTGTTTAGGGTTTACGAATGGGCTTGAACTGGGCTTCCCGTGTCCCTACGGCCGCTTGGTTGGTTGTATCGTTTTGCAGCCCAAAAATCGCCTGTAAAAAACACTGTATCATTGTACACCACACGGGTAATAAAATCCGGATTGATGGAATCACTAGTTGAGGGAGGAGTACTCGTTGCAAAGATCACTCCAACTTCCCATGCTGCAACAAATGACCCACATGCAGCGCATCATTTGTCACAATCTGAGAGTTTTCTCTTTTTTTTAGATCCGTCTATTCAAAACATTTTATCTCTCAAACCATGCGTCCAAAAAACGCTTTCACAGTTTGATTCCTCGCGTCAAGATCTTCAAAATTAGATCCCATATTGATAGGTTTTGACGAACTTTTTTCTCACGAAAAATACCGGACGAAATAACCGAACCGCAAGCACGCGTTTTTTCCCTTTCCAAAAAAGGCACGCCAGTGCCTCTCACGAGATCACAACCGTGCCTCTCACGGAAGCAAAACCGTGACTCTCGCGGAAGAAAAAAAAAGAAGAGAAAACATTTTTTTGTTTCCTAGGAGGCATGACCGTTACTCGCGCGAAAGCACAGTCGTGCCTCTCGCAGAAGCAAAACCGTGACTCTCGCGAAAGAAAGAAAAACAGAAAACGTGTTTTTTTTTCCGTTTGCGAGAGGCACGGCCGTGACTCTCGCGAAGCACAACCGTGCCTCTCGCTGAAGCAAAAATGTGACTCGCGAAAGAAAAAAATAGAAAACGCGTTTTTTCCCGTTTCCGAGAAGCACAGCCGTGACTCTCGCTAAAGCACAACCGTGTCTCTCGCGGAAGCAAAACCGTGACTCTCGCGAAAGGAAAAAAACATGTTTTTTTTCGTTTTCGAGAGTCACGACCGTGACTCTCGTGAAAGCACACCCGTGCCTCTCGCGGAAGCAAAACCGTGACTCTCGTGAAAGAGAAAAAAAACAGAAAACGCGTCTTTTTTTCGTTTCCGAGAGATACGGCCACGACTCTCGTGAAGGAAAAAAACAAGTTTTTTCATGAAAAAAAATCAAAAAATTGATCGAAAAGCTAAGGAAGACCGGTGAAAAACCAAAACGTCGAAAAAAATTGTTTAAAAAGCCGAAAACGCGTGCGAAAAACTTAAAAAAATCCAGAGGGAGCGCGACACGTGGCGAATCGCTGAGAGCGCGCCAAGTGGCGCTGATCGTTGCGAGGCTCCCGAAGGAGCACTCGTTAACTAGTTGCTCTCGGATTCTGAATACTCACTTGGCTGGTCATTTACCCCTAGAAAAACTTGGCTGGTCGTTTCTCCCCCTCAAAAAAAACTTGCCTGGTCATTTCTGCTCTGTAAAATAGAGTATGCCTGGAAAAAATTGATTTGCTGGCTTATACCATTGTAATCGGACACACGTCCCAACACACCTATTTTCTTTTCCCCACCCTCTCCTCCCTCGAGACCCGTCTATTTCCTCACACTTGTCCAAAAAAGGGTTTCCTCACACGCGAGGGCTGATGCACGTGTGCAGGCGGTCCTGAGATTTTGGAGGCACGAGACAAAAAAAATTTAGAAAATGAACCCTTTTTTATTCCCCCGATACAATACCATTTATGATGGTAAAAGTAAAATCCCCTTTAGCTAGGGTTTTTCTTCTCTCGGTGGCACTGGCGTCGACGTAGAGCCCCTTGTTTCCCCACCGTCGGCCCTCGAGCCTCGCTGCTCGTGGTAACCCGCGGAGCTAGGGTCCCCCCAGCCTGAAGATCTTCACGCGGGCCAGATCGCAGTGTCTTAAAACGCATCTGGATCGGAAGCGATCTCGGATGATGTGGAGAAGATGATGGAAGAACTCGATCTTCAGGAGGATGATCTCAATGATGTTATCTTCGAGCAAGAGGAGGCACCGCCGAAAGAGATCACCCGATGGTTGGCCATTGCAAGAGTCCACGCAGCTAAGACCTATAGCCAGTTTTGGTTTTATAAAAATATGAGATCAGCTTGGAACTTGGCCAAAGTGGTGAAGGCACGACCTCTCGAGGAGAATTTGTATACTCTGCAATTTGGTTGCTTGGGAGTTTGGGAGAGAGTCATGGATTTCGGGCCGTGGAACTTCCGTGGCGATGTTGTGGTCATTGCCCCCTACAATGGCATCTCAAAACCATCAACAGTCAACCTCGATACCCTATGGACATGTATACAAATCCACGATATCCCTGATCTATTTGCTCATCTGTTGAAGCCCTTGGCGACCAAAGTGGGGGAGCTGGTGTGTGCTGAGCCTATCTCTCACGGCTTCACTGGCAACTTTTACAGAGATAAGGCCAAGATCAATGTTCGTAAACCTTTAAAGAATGATATCTCAATGATCAAGGATAATAAGAGGCAGATTTATAGGGTTAAGTATGAATGATTACCTGACTGGTGTGCGGTATGTGGACATATTTTTAAGGAACATGGTGAAGGAAATATGCCCTAGAGGCAATAATAAAGTTGTTATTTATATTTCTTTATATCATGATAAATGTTTATTATTCATGCTAGAATTGTATTAACCGGAAACTTGATACATGTGTGAATACATAGACAAAACATAATGTCCCTAGTATGCCTCTACTAGACTAGCTCGTTAATCAAAGATGGTTAAGTTCCCTAACCATGGACATGTGTTGTCATTTGATGAACGGGATCACATCATTAGAAGAATGATGTGATGGACAAGACCCATCCGTTAGCTTAGCATAATGATCATTAAGTTTTATTGCTATTGCTTTCTTCATGACTTATACATATTCCTCTGACTATGAGATTATGCAACTCCCGGATACCGGAGGAATACCTTGTGTGCTATCAAACGTCACAATGTAACTGGGTGATTATAAAGATGCTCTATAGGTGTCTCCGAAGGTGTTTGTTGAGTTGACATAGATCGAGATTAGGATTTGTCACTCTGAGTATCGGAGAGGTATCTCTGGGTCCTCTCGGTAATGCACATCATGATAAGCCTTGCAATCAATGCGACTAATGAGTTAGTTACGGGATGATGCATTACGGAACGAGTAAAGAGACTTGCCGGTAACGAGATTGAACTACGTATGAAGATGCCGACGATCGAATCTTAGGCAAGTAATATACCAATGACAAAGGGAATGACGTATGTTGTCATTACGGTTTGACCGATAAAGATCTTCATATAATATGTAGGAACCAATATGAGCATCCAGGTTCCGCTATTGGTTATTGACCGGAGAGGTGTCTCGGTCATGTCTACATAGTTCTCGAACCCGGGTCCGCACATTTAACGTTTGGTGATGTTTTGTATTATGAGTTATGTGTTTTGGTGACCGAAGATTGTCTGCAGTCCCGGATGAGATCACGGACATGACGAGGATTCTCGAAATAGTCGAGAGGTAAATATTGATATATTGGACAATAGTATTCGTACACCAGAAGTGTTTCGGAATGTATCGGGTACGTATCGGAGTATCGAGGGGTTACCGGAACCCCCGGGGGGAAGATATGGGCCACATGGGCCATAGGAGGGAGGCAAGCCGGCCCACGAGGGTGGCGCACGCCCCCTTGATATGTCTCCAACGTATCTACTTTTCCTAATGATTTTCCTCTTGTTTTGGACTCTAATTTGCATGATTTGAATGAAACTAAACCCGGACTGACGATGTTTTCAGCAAAACTACCATGGTGCTGTTTTTGTGCAGAAATAAAAGTTCTCGGAATGGAACGAAACTTTGCGAGGAATATTTACACAAATAAAGAAAATTTCTGGAGCCAAGACCCACCGGAGGGGGGCACCTGGGTGGGCACAACCCACCAGGGCGCCCCTGAAGGAAATATGCCCTAGAGGCAATAATAAAGTTATTATTTATTTCCTT